TCCCAGTGGGCTCCGGCGCGTCCCGCCGGGGTCCCGGGAGGATGCCGAAAGATCTTCCAAAGGTGGTTGCAAAGGGTTTTTCCGTTCCAGACGGCTCCAAGATGGCCCAAGATGGCCTCCAGGATGCCTCCAAGATGGCCAAGATGCCCTACGAGACGGCTAAGATGGCCCCAAGATGCCTCCAAGACGGTCCAAAAAGCACCCAAGACGGCCTAAGATAGCCTCAAGATGGCCCAAGACGGCCCAAGAGGCCCTCAAGAGGCCTCCAAGACGGCCCAAGAGGCCTCCAAGAGGTCCTCCAGGAAGGCCCGAAGAGGCCAAAATCGTTGATTTCCGTTGAGTGTTTGACAGATTTTGGCATTTGTGCCTTTTTGGCTTTCCGACGGCCCAAGACGGCCCAAGAGGCCCCCAAGGATCGCCCAAAAGGCCTTCAAGATGGCCCCATGACGGCCCAAGAGGCTCCCACGACGGCCCGAAGACGGCCCAAGAGGCCTCCAACACGCCCACGATGGCCTCCAAGACGCCCAAGATGGCCTCCAAGACGGTCCCGAAGCGCCCAAAGAGGGCCCCAAGTCGGCCCAGAAAGGCCCCCAAGACGGCTCCCGACGGCGTCAGACGTGCCAGGAACCCACCAAGATGGCCGAAGTTGGCTCGAAGCTGGCCCAAGACGGCCCAAGAGGTCCCCAAGAGGGCCTCCAGGGAGGCCAGAAGAGGCCAATAACATTGATTTTCCTTAGGTTTTGGACGGATTTTGACATTTGCTTCTTTTCGGCCGTCCGACGGCCCGAGACGGCCCAAGAGCCCCTGAAGATCGCCGAAAGATCGCCCAAGAGGGCCCCAAGACGGCCCCCCAAGACAGCACATGAGGCCTTTCAAGACACCCAAGATGGTCTCCAAGACGGCCCTGGAGCATTCCAAGAGGGCCCCAAGTCGGCCCATAGAGGCCCCCCAAACGGCGTGTCAGACGGACCAGGAGCCCACCAAGACGGCCAAACATGGCCCTAAGATGACCCAAGACGGCCCAAGAGGCCTCCCAGAGGGCCTCCAGAAGGCCCGAAAAGGCCAAAATCTGTACTTTCCCATTGGTTTTTGAAGGATTGTGGCATTTGCTTTGTTGTCGGCTTTCCGACGGCCCGAGACGGCCCAAGTGCCCCCAAAGATCGCCCAAGAAGCCCAAGACACGGCCCCAAGAGGCCCCCAAGACGGCCCAAGAAGTCTCCAAGACGCTCAAGATGGCCTCCAAGACGGCCCAAGAGCCCTCCAAGACGTCCTCCAAGAAGGCCCGAAAGGGTCAAAATGGCTTCCAGACGGCCACGATGACCTTCAAGATGCCCACGTGTCCGATAGCTTGGCAGGTCTGGCCTCAACGTTCGGCCACATAGGCGCTTCCAAAAAGGCAGGGGGCGGCGGTGATTCGCCGTTGGCGTCTTCGATCCGCCGCCCCCTGTTGATTCATCACAGGGGTGCCTGGCGTGCTAAACCCTCTCGGTTTTGGTTTTGGTTTTTTTCCAAAAGAACTCTCCCAGTGGGCTCCGGCGCTTCCCGCCGGCCACCCGGAAGACCCGGTTGCCATCGCCAAAAACGGCCGTTTCGCTCGGGACATTCTCAATAAATCGGGAAGATGGCCCAAGATGGCCTGCAAGATGCCTCCAAGACAGCCAAGATGGTCTCCAAGACGGCTAAGATGGCCCCAAGATGCATCCAAGACGGCCCAGATGGCCCCAATATGGTCTAAGACGGCCCAAAAGACCCACAAGAGGCCTCCAAGACGGCCCAAGAGGCCTCCAAGAGTTCCTCCAGGAAGGCCCGACGAGGCCAAAATCATTGATTTTCCATTGGTTTTGGAAGGATTGTGGCATTTGCGCCTTTTCGGCTTTCCGACGGCCCGTGCCGGCCCCACAGGCCGCCAAGGTCGCCCCAAGATCGCCCAAGAGGCCTCCAAGATGGCTCCATGACGGCCCAAGGGGCCCCCAAGACGGCCCCAAGAGGGCGCCAAGTCGGCCCAAGAGGCCTCGAAGACGCCCAAGATGGCCTCTAAGACGGCCCTGGAGCACCCCAAGAGGGCCCCAAGCCGGCCCAGAAAGGCACCCGAAACGGCTTCCGACGCGTCAGACGGGCCAGGAGCCCACCAAGATGGCCGAAGGTGGCTCGCAGCTGGCCCAAGACGGCCCAAGAGGCCTTCAAGAGGGCCTCCCGGAAGGCTAGAAAAAACAATTGGCCTGGCGAAGGACCCGACCATATGCAGTTGTGAATGCCGCAATTGTGCTGGGTGGTGGCGGACGCATGCGGGCGGTGCCACTGGGAGCTTCGGTGGAGCCCCTTATGGGGCCACGAAACGCTGTACTGGGTGGGCGAGACGCGGTCAGCAAGGGCTGTGCTGCGTGGTGGCGGACGCATGCGAGCGGTGCCACTGGGACCTTCGGTGGACCTCCCTATGGGGCCACGAAACGCTGTACTGGGTGGGTGAAACGCAGGCAGGGAGCAACGGCTGTGCAGGGTG